AATAGCTGAAAACAGCTGAAAAAGGTGTAAAAGAGCTGAATTTTGGAAATCTCCTATACTTTTGTACACAGCAAGTGAGGGGAAAAAGCTGAAATCCAAAACAAAAATAGCTGAAATCAGCTAAAAAGCTGAGATTTCACACCCCTGTTCAACGTTACTGGCACCAAATATTTTTTGTGAAGAGTCTGTTTGAGTATCAATGTTAAACCCTGAAAAAAGATTGTAGCACCCCTGAAAATATATAATGGACCTGTCCATAAAATGTCGGCAACTGGCTGACTTTTTTCGAATGAAAACTGCGATCCAAATATATCGGGTTTTTAATAATAATAATAATAATAGTAATTGGTTCTTAAAAAGCACCTTACTTACATCCTCAAGGTGCTGTACATCATTAAACACAACCTTGACGTAAAGACTCAATGCTGATAATAGAAATCTGAGAATTTCGGTACTAAAAAGGGACCTGTTTGTCCTTACGACAAAAGTAACTAGCAAACTGAGGTCACGAAGCCCTTTTGGTGCTCCAGACATGCTTCATCACGACTGAATGAGGCGTATTGCTTTCTCAAGTGCAAGCGGGGAATTTTCTATGATTCAAGATCCCAATGCGGCATGGCATTGGTAGCAAATCCCTGATGATGCCGACTCTACACCATGTTCTTCATGATGAATCCGTGGTGCTACTGATAAGTGACAAGATCGAAATACTCTCCATTACATCTATTTGTAATCACGAGTTCAAGACCTTTCACGCACTAGTGCGTAGAGACGATCTGTGTATGGAAAACGTTCAGATATACATTTTTGACACGGAACACTGCCCTCCAGCTTACAAAGGGAAAGGTGAATGCATGGTCCCCATGTCACCTCAACAGCTAGAGAAACATGAAAACGATCACTCGTAACAACTATGGGCTCCATGCGCGCACAAGAGTGGGCAGGACGCGTTTTTACATGTACCACTTTTGAGGGCTCAGTGGTGGACACATTTGCTTGCGCATACCGATTCGCGCGCATATTGCGCAAAGTACGCACGACTAATTTTATTTTGAATGTGCACAAAACCATAGGGCCTTTGCAACAAGCGTCAGGCGTTGTCGGCAATGCGTTAGAAGCCCCTCCCAGTGGTCACCCCCAACTCTCCCTTTCTTACCATTGAGGGGGTACTTGTGCACAGAGCCCATAGCATAGTCCAAACTGTAGTTACCGTAGGACGATCCGAACTAAAGTTGGAATTGTCCCAACTACAGGGTGGTCCAAAAAAATGTTTACAATTTTTCAGACGCAGATTTCTTGGAATTAGGGAGACATGTTAAAATTGTTTACAGCATCTTTGTGGTACATGTATAAACGGCGCTGAAAATAAGCCTAAATTAAGAAATGGTGATGGTTTAAAGGAAGATGGTCAAAACCAGTTTGTCCACACGCAAGTCTATGAGATATGGTCAACACAATAGCAATGCGTGCACAAAGAACTGCAATAATTGTTCATGTACATTGTACATGTAATTAGGTCTACATGACTGCCATAGACGTGTGCAAACTAGTTTTTGACCATTCTTCTGTAAATGGCCGCTATTTCTTAACTCGAGCTTTACTTTCAACGCCGTTTCCACCATATACAACCAAGATCTTGTCCCAGTAGTTGAGGAATATCTTCAAACAATTTCAACATGTCTCTTTAATTACAAAAATGTAGAAGAAATCTGCCTCTGACAAAGTGAAAACTTTTTTTGAATTTGAGACCATCCTGCATAATTGAGACTTCCCCAAACTATGGTTCGGACTGTCCTAACTATAGTTGGGGCCACTGCTACCTTTCAGTCATGACAAACGCATTACAACGGTGCCTGACACTCACGCGAAGACGCTAGGGGTTTTGTACACCTTCAGAATAACATCACTTATGTGTACTTTGAGCCATAAACACACACAAACTGGGGCGCACACGCTCCCAATGGAGTTCTTATCAGTGGTGACAGACCGCCCTCTACTGTTTATGCAAAGACCCATATAAACACCAAAGCTCCCATCTCATAACTTTCAGGTCTGTAAATCAATGCACCAGTGCATGCATGTCCATTTGAGTGACTGTTGGTGCTGTCTGGCAACCCCACTTTTGCACAGTGAATACCAGCAGCTGTGAATACCAAGCCCTAGGCAGCTCAGGTGGGAGCTGAACCCACGACCTCCAGCTCTTGTACCACAGAGGCATTAACCACTAGTAAATTGCCGCTTCTACCAAATACATACCCTGTTTCTGATATGATACCCTCAGAATAAACAGTACCATGTATACACACATGTAGGCCTGGAGTGGAGCTACTGTATCACTTGCAAAAATAGCATGGCATTGAAGTACCGGCCAGTACAGGAACGTATATGCAATTCAAAAAGGATTAATTGTAGGGAAATCTGCCCTTTCATAGCTTACTGCAGTTATAAATATTCTTTAGACATCAGCGACAGTCTTACATGTGTACACATGTCCTGGGACTGCACCAAGGGATGAAATAAGTGATCTTGTTGGGGTTTTTTAAAGGGAATATACATCATTTGCTTTTGCTGTAATTTTCAGAAATGGTTGGAATTGGGGGTTGGAAATATAAAGCAAATATAGTTACACTGACTTTTTGGAGGTTTTGGGTTCGAAAATGCTATAAAAACCAAGAAAAACGATCATTTTCCTGTAGTCTGGTTCCCTGACTCCATATAAGAAGAAACAGAGCAGTTTACATACATTGGGGAATTGTAAGGTTAGGGAACCAGTCTAGCTGGCTCGTACCCGTTCATAGGTTTGTAATCGATTGTAAACAAGTGCGATGGTCAATTGGGGCCAGTATTTGAAAAAAAAGCCAGTTGTTTCCAACGCTGATCGGCCGATCAGCGTTGGAAATTGATACAAAAATAACACTTTTCTTGAAAATGACAGTATACCAGGTGCCATAATTTTACAGGATGCTTTAGACTGTCATTTACCAACATCCTATTAAGGTATTTCGCAAAAACTTGGTAGTTTTATTTTTCGATGTTTGCAAATGTTGTATATTCCCTTTAAAGAGGAAAAACCTCTTAGATGTAAGTCCAAACTAGCAGCTTGCATAATGAATTTTCTGGGTATGTACGTGTATACTGCCCTGTGTACACAGTCCAAGAGAATTTGGGAAGAGAATCTTTGACACGCCTAATGCTCAGACAATAATCAAACCCATCCTGCTTGTCCGTTCAGATGTTGTGACTTTATGAGATGTTTATGGTGTACATTACGTGAAGTGACGATATCTACACGTAAAATGCAGAGGTGGTTCTGAGAAGAACCAATAGTGTGAGTGTCTTGTTTCAGTCACATTGCTTTCAGTGCAGACATCTTAATCCCTGAGCTTAATCCCATGATCAACTCGTTGATTCACATACAAGCGCAGAGTAATCAATGCCAATTTTGCATGGACGGACTTTGTAAGGGTCTTCCACACTATCCAAAATCTCAATGTCGGACATGGGTCCAAAACAGATATTTCGGGTCCAACACAGATTAGCAAGAATCCAACACGGCTTAGGGCCGGCACTCAACATGGGTAAAATCCAACCCTGGTTACAACCATGGCCCAATTTCATGGAGCTGCTTAAGCACAAAATTTTCTTAAGCACAAAAAAACGTTGCTTAGTAAAATAAGGTTACTGGCCAAAACTCCATGTGATGCACATTGCTTGCGACTGGTATCTAGCTGTTTACTTAGCATAACAATCGCATGGAGTTTTGGCCGGTAACCTGATTATATTAAGCAAGACTTGTTTGTGCTTAAGCAAATTTCGTGCTTAAGCAGCTCTATGAAATTCGCCCAAGGGTGGAGAGGTTCTATCTCGGTAGAAATTCAAAATCAACGGCCAACCCACACGCACGTACAACGCTGCATTCATGTACATGTACATTTAAAGCTACAGTCCACCATTTGTAATTTGTGCATTTTGTTCGTTTGAAGCAACAAAAGAGTTCAAAATCTAATGAAGGATACTGAACAACTAACCTGATGAAGTTTCAGCTAAGCTTCAGCTGTACATTCCGAGAAAAACAGCATTCTAAGATCTCAATTTCAAATCAAAAGTTACTGAATCATGTTTTGAATTGTTTTGAATTGCAGCTATACGCGACGTCGCGCACTGATCCGACGAATTACAACAACCGCGCGCGCGTGTGCGTCGTTCCAATACTTGTGCGCGCTGCGCTGAATAACAAAACAAACTACTAATTTAAATTTTCCTACGGTGCTTCTTAAGAATCACTGTTGGAAATGCCTTCTTTCGTTGATTACTTCAAAATGACAGCTTCCCAGAAAGAATAATTTCACAGGGAGTTTAGTTCCCTTACTATCTTTCAACCAAGTTTGTTTTTCAACAATAATTACGCCAGTTACTTTTCGGATGGCTGCAAATGATGGACTATAGCTTTAAGTGTGAACGTACATCTTGCCCACCTGTGTTTGATGAGACTCGGTTCTGATCATGACGGACCCGTGTTGATTTTATAATAATAATTTGGAAGGCTAATCATCCTTACTTGCAGCTGAGAAGCTGAATTGCGAAGGACGAGGCTACAACGTGGTCAAGCCACTGGCATAATGGTGCCTCTGGCTGCCAGCCACATCGACCCATGTCTGACCACGGAGCACAGCCAGAGATCGAAAGTGTTTGATTTTTCCGGAGGGAGGAAAACTGGAGGGCCCGGAGCAAAACCCTCGGAGAGAACCAACGCTCAATTCTACTCACGTATGGCATGTATGGTCCGTGGCCGGGATTCGAAGCAGGGCCACAGTGGTGAGAGGCAAGCGCTTAACGCACAAGCCACCCATGCCACCATTTCACCATGGGTATGTGAGACTACTGTGCGGAAAGTCCTATAGGTGTTAGCCCTGCACTGGTGTACTGGCAAATGGCTCTTTAGGATTTGGTCAAAGAAATGAACAAAAAGAAGCTTTTGGAGGTGTAGCAAAATACTGTACCTGATGGATGCCCATTTGTTTGCCTACATTCTCGGAGATGTAGAAAATCTTCCCTTTCCTCGAGATGAAGATCACAAATCCATTCAGAGCCTGTGGGTAGGAGAGACAGCAGAAACCAAATTGCAGTTATTATCAAAAAAAAGGTTACGGACAATGGTTTAGAAATATATTTATTTTTTTAATGGGGCAACCCCTCCCTGTAACGTTTAAATGTGAGCTTCAGTCACATTTTACTTCAGACATTCATTTTGAGGGCTGGGGTTTAAATAAACCACACACAGAATTATAAGCTTTTCTTATGGGCTCCGTGCACAAGTACCCCCTCAACGGTAAGAAAAGGAGAGATGGGGGAGACCTCTGGGAGACAAATTTGAACGCATTGCCGACAACACCCGACGCTCACGCGAAGGCGCTACTGTATGGCTTTGTACACATTAAGAATAAAATTAGTCGCGCTTACTAATTGCGCCATATGCGCGCGAACCAATACGCGCGCATGGTGTGTCCTGTCCACGGGCTCTCTAAAGTGGTAAAAAAGCGCCCTCTCTAGTTCGCACATGGAGCCCATAACTTCATGTACAATGCTTGCATAGTACAGCAGTGCAGTGTAGGGTAGTGCTACCGGGTAGTGCAACAGTTTGTTGCATAATAATTGCAAGTTGGCTTGCACGTACTCAATTTCCCTGAAATTCATTTAAACAAAAATGTCTACTGGTCTTTTCAAATGTGTTTCCCATTAAATGAATACGTGTCATTCACACAACCACAAATTGAAAATTTGCGGTCTGTGTGCAATCTGCCCCAAGCAATTTCGGGGTAAAAAGTGTTGAACCTCAAAAGGTGAGCTGTTGGAGCGCTACATGTGTAATTTGAGTCAAACATGCATTTTTGTTTTCAAATATATCCTCGAAAATCGCGTACTTTCATAATTATTATTATTATTATTATAATTATTATTTTTTTGACCTCAACAAAGAATTACAAACAGTGATACAAAACCAAACAAACATTACACAAAAGTGGTTGAAAACGCACAACAAAAGGAACGTATAAACATGTAATTTAAATTTAAAAAAAAAAAAAAAATCATGAAGTTGAGGGCATGCACTTTAAGTGACAGCTGGGCTTCCCAATTATGAGGTCCCAACTGAATTAATGTGAGGTTTATTCAAAACCAATTGACATTATCAAATGATGCCACAAAAAATATAATGTATTTACATGTATAAAAGAGCTCAAAATTTGATGGCCTTACTCGCTGCTCGGAACACTTAAATGTATGGGGGAAAAATTTAAAAGTGGTGTTTCAACTTTTTCGCCCTATATTTTACATAAGTCATTTCGTAGATTTCCTTTGACCCAAATCTTTTAAATGTGGTAAGTCAACAATCTTCATTAAATATTGGCAATATGCAGGCAAATATGCACCTTTAAAAAAGCTGAAATGGGTGTGGCAACCAATTAAACCCCCCCCCCCCACACGCACTGCTTGGCTACCCACCACACCATTGCATCATCAAGCGTAACACTGTCAATGCCCAATAATGCCTGTCCACATCCATCAGACCACATAACATAATAATCCACCCTTGTGAAGGGTCACGACAGCATGCAAACCGGCCAAATCCAGGGAATTACTCAGCAATGCATTGGTACTTGGCGCTGAACAGCCTGTTGGACGCAATCATCAAAAGTACAGTCACCCCGTGTGTGTCACTTGACTTTTCATAAAGGCTGCATGCACACGATGCACTGTGCGAAGCACTGTACATCACAGGTTCATTATGGATAGTGCTTTTATGGGCTTGTAATGTACCGGTACATGAACATGATACAGAACATGCGTGTATACAATGTATGTTCATTTGTTCATTTGTATACATGTACATGTACCAGTGCATATTGTTCCTTGCTCTATGAATGTAGTTTAACCAGGCAACAATTTCACATGTTTCTTGTAAGCAGAGATCCTTTGCTATCGGTAACTATAAATCTCAAAATTCTGCAATTACATTTAGAGTTACCGCATGATGATGTAGCATTAGAATGGAATTGGTTTGTCCGTTTGTGCATTCTGTACATCTCCAATTAAGAGTTCGCTTCTTGCAGGGTTAGCACAATAATCCAACGCACAAAAGCAATCGTATTCGTAAGCGCAGAATTCCTTGGGTTTGATGAACCATGGACTATGAATTGATGAACTGGTCTCGCATCAGATTTTTCAGGATTTTGAATTGTATGAAGTTTAAATGTCATTAGGTGGTAGGGTGTGCATCGGACCCGACCACTGATGTCAGGAACCGGTTCTAGATTATGGGATTGGGTACCCATAACCAACTTTACAAATTACTAACTTCTCAGACAATGAAACAGAAAGGTTTTTGAATGCCATTCGTGGGGAATTGTCAAAATGAAAACCAGGCTACACGGAAAATTTCAACCAAAACGGATTTCATGTTTATACATGTGCAGTTTAGCGCCTAGGGCGGAGTAGGGCCTACGGAACACCGTGCCTAGGGCCTACGAAACACTTAATCTGGCCCTGCTTTACATGTAGGCATAAACCATTTGAATTAAAACATTAAAAATGTAATATCAGAAAAAGAAGATGATATATAAGTTTCCATTATGATAAATTACTGGCCAGCCAGCTAATGGCTTAATTAATCCCCAAGAAACCACGTCCCCACTAGGGGCAAATTTAATGGCTTTACTAACCCTGGAACTTGGACTCAGGTCTTCGGGTTAATTAGGTGAGTTTGATTAGCTCACCCGGATCGACACAGGTAAAGGCAGATGGGTGGGCCACAGGTAAAGGCAGATGGGTGGGCCACGAGAGCCGGGTTAATCGCACTGACAAAACATGTTTTTTTACTGGGCCTTATTTCCGTCAAAATTGCAAGAAGTTACATGTCGACTGTGTTTATAAGATGGAATTTGCGTCAGGGAGATGTTAATTTTATATTGGGATTTGAACTTAGCAGACATGTACCGTACATGTACAAAAAGTTTAGTTGTGGTACCTCCTGCTATATCAGACTCGAACCAGCAAGCTCTGTGGTGGAGTGGTAAGATGTCTGCACTAGTAAGCAGAAGGTTGTCGGTTCCAATCCCACCCAAGTAAAGCCTGTGATTTTTTTTCTCGCAAGCCCTCGTACAACGAGCATATAAATACAGTGTTTATAAAATACATGTATGTCGGTGAAGGGCAAAACCCAATATTGAATCTACAGTGTTGAATTGCCCATAAGTGAAAAATCATCAATTCTTATATTACACATGCGCAATATTGAAAATTGATGAAAGGGTTTAAAAGTTCACATTTCATGCATCACCACGCAGGATCGAGCAACAGATGAGACTGACCCCTACCTGCAGCATGAGGGCGCCATCATTCAGTTCGGCTGGTTCCTTTGTGGCCTCTTCACCCGCTGTAATGGCTTTCTGGTTGAGTTCCTCTAATAGTGCATTCCCATCTGCCAATGAAATGAGGAACACGTTAATTCTGGTATCGAACAAAGGATTATGAGTTGCATAAATTTATTGATGCCTGATTGTACAATTGTACCTCTGGCGGTAACAGTGCAGCCAAGTGCTCGTCTCACGAGACTGATATAAATGAATCCAACCAAGTATATAATTTAACAGATTTGATATCGTTCAACGATGTAAAGACACATTGTAAACATGTACAAACTGGATGAGTAGCCCAGAATGCACATCTACATCTAACAACCGACTCCGATATCAGCAAGCTGCAATGCGAGCCTGGTCTCCATTCCAGCTTCAATAATATTCTTTCGCCTGAAAACTTCAGAAGTCGCTATATGACAAAGGGAAAGGACCACTGAATAAAGACTAAGCAAGCTCTACAATAACGTCATTCAGCACCCAAATGAACAGATCCATTGAGGGTGCATTTTGTAATTTTAAAAAATTTGTGTTTTTATGAGTTCAGCCAGTTTTCGACGTTTTCCTCTGCGTAAAAATAGCAACACCGACACAAACATTTATATTGAATAAACAAAATGTTGAACAGCAACTGCACTGCTGTACATACAGCAATTAAAATGCATACTGATGTTAGTTTAAATCAGAAATATAGCCGGTACCGGAAGTTGCATTAAAATCTTAAGGTACTGCATTAAACTGCATTAAAAGGGTAATTTAGCAAAAAAAATATATTTATAACCAACCAAAAATTGTATTTTCATAAACCACACAGCCAATCAATAATGAACAGAGCCAGCCAGGAAAAATTACTAAGAGAAAATAACAAGCTCAATTGGAAATTTCTCGGAAGCCGCGGGACAACAAATACTATTCATGCATGTCGAGTCACGTGATTGTTCCATGTAATTTCTGGAATTAGTGTTTTGAGTACAAACATAAGGTTATTGACCCCAGTACCCCCATAATGGCCTTTGACCTCAGTTTGGTCATGTGACATGTTAGGGCTGAGCTACTGACACTTTCAATAAAGTTTGATTGAAATCGATCAAAATATGTAGGAATAGACACTGTCAACATTTGTTACTAACTACATGTAACTAACAGACTACATGTACGGTAACTAACAGACTACATGTATTAACGGAGAGACATGACGATTGTTGAGCTGCTATCCTGCAGCAAAAAGAAAAAAGGGACGAAGCGGTCAGAGGAATACCGCACTTCCGTGAGAAGAATGAATTATGCAACAATATCCTAATGGCTCCAGTGATGCAAAGGTAATCAAGGTATTGCATCATTTATGTTTCCCCATCCCAAAGAGTTTTTTTCCACAGATGAGGAAAGGTTAATTGAAGCCTGCTTAATCCCTTGCAACCGATCCAAAAGCTCCATGGAATGGATCTTCTGATCAGTTCAACAGAGATGTACCAGATACGTACAACCAAGCTGTACTCTCTATGGGCCGACCAGCGTTGGAAATTGATGCAAAAATACAAATTTTCTTGAAAATGACAGCACACACCACAATTTTACAGGATGCTTAAGACAGTCAACAGTCCAGTAAGGTCTTTTGTCGTAATTTGGTAGTTTCATTTTTTTGATTTTTGCAAATGTATTCCCTTTAAAGGGAAGATACAATTTTCAAAAATCAAAAATCGAAATGATCAAATTATCACGAAATATCTTACTGGATGGTTAGTCTAAAGCACCCTGCAAAACCGTGGCTCCTGGTGTGCAGACATTTTCAAGAAAAATTGTATTTTTCCATTGCTGGTCGGCCGACCAGCGTTGGAGAAAACTGTTTTTGTTCCCAAAAACTGCTCTTAATTTTTCATAAATAGTTTTCCGCATTTTCTTTGCAATTGATTACACACCTGTGAAGGGGTACAACTACAAGCCTGCCGGACTGATTCTCTGACCTTACAATCCCCCAAAGTTGACAAACTGCTCTGTTTCATCTTGCCTGTAAGTGGGGTCCGACAGACTACAAGAACATAATATTTTTTCTTGGTTTTTCCAGCATCTTCAAGCCCAAAACGTGAAACAAGTCAGTTTAACAATATTTGCTATAACATTCTAATCCCCCAAATCCACTTACTACTGAAAATTGCAGCAAGAGCAAAATGTTGTACATTCCCTTTATATACAAATCTGCATGTACCTTCAACCAATTACATGTACAGACAATTAACCCCTTAACATACACGTACACAAATACCCAATCATGTTCAGGGACATCAGCTTATCAAAATCACGAAAAAAGTGGCACTAGTCCAATATACATGTACATGTATCCATACATGTACAAGTGGAAATGGTGGCCTTGCGTATTTCAGAGAAAATAGCAGAGTCACCTGCCCCAGTGACAAAAAGTACATTCAACTCTTACAAATTTCATTATTGCTTCGGGTCAGCTGCCAAATTACCATGGCGCCTCATCAGCGCAACAACAAAAAATTCACGTCACGGTCAGGAGAAATTACCCTTTTGTATACACTGTGTTGCGCTTGTGAATAATAATGCAGTGGCTGCTTTAATCGCCTCTAGCGCTAAAGGGTCATCTATCACTGTTCACTGGCTACAAAAGAAACTCCTTTTTGAAAAGGACTGGCATTTTCATCCCATTAGACAGCCAAAAATTGCAGGGTCCCCCCCCCCCCCTGACTTCACTTGTGTAAAAAATTCTCAACTCATACATTATAAAATTCATTTTGAAAGCTTTACTTTGTTGGTGCATGGCACAGTTACATTGTACCACTACCAGTACATTTGTACAAAACTCCATCAATTGATACCAAAATGAGACATCTGCTACCGTACCTCCTTTAAAGGTACCGGTAGAGTACATGTAGATCATAACTCATTTTTTTCGTCCACAAAAGTGCTCAAAATCTAAAGACAGGTGCTCAAACACTAATCTGATGAAATTTTAGCTGTGTGAATGCTGTACATGTACACGTGTTTATTCCAAGAACACAATATTTAGGATCTTGAATTTGATTCAAAAGTTTCTGCGTCATAATTTGAGTTGTACCTGAAATCAGCATCTGGAGCACGTTCGCATTCAGCGGATTGCAGCTACATGTACAGTATGGTACGAGCTGTCACGCACTGAACCGACGAACAACAGCAACTGCGCGCGTGTGCGTCGTGTCAACGCTTGTGCGCACCCATTCACGAACCAACTACAAATAGAAATGGCCAAAAATGCGTCACTTGACTCATCTTTGGAAATTGCCCTTTTTTTCTTGTTTTCTTCAAAATGACAGCATGCCAGAAGGAATAACTGCACAGGCAGTTTAGTGCCAGTGCTATCTTTAAACCATAAAGCTTTTAAAAATAAATTGGTCAGTTACTTTTTGGATAGCTGTAAATGATCTACATGTACTCCACCTTTAAAACGAAGGAAACCCTTCTTAAAGATTGTTTTTAAGTTTAATTAATCTAGTTCTTTGAAAATTACACCAACCTAATATTAAAGTATCAATTGTTGCCCTCCAATTCAACATATCATCAGATCAAGTTTCATAATAACCTACAGTAATATCCCATCAGTTAAACAAATACATGTCGTGATGATATGGCACTTTTTCCAGGGGGTGAATGTCCTTCACATACATGTTTGCCAGCAACATTAGGCCAAAAAAAATAATAGTTCTGCTTCCGGTTTCCCTACATGTACCTACCCTATTCTGACAGCCCCTACCCTAATTATTTTATGGGAAAAATGAGAAAAAAACACCCAAAACCATCAATTACTACCTTTTACCCTTGACTACACGCAGACGCCTCCATATGATCGTACACAAAAAAAATTCAAAAAAAAAAAAATTCCCTACCTACCCTATTTTCAAATGCCATGTAATCGGAAGCAGAACTGTTATTTTTTTTAGCCTTACCCCAATCAGCTTGTACAGCTTTTATGAAAATTTGCAACAGGGAGTTGTTAATTCAATGGGTTTTATCCTTCTTTGCATGTAAAATGTATTATCATTTTAAATTTTGACGACATCTCTTCCTTGGATATATATACATGTATACTATACTGTACATATCAAGTTACAGTAAACATACATGCATCAATTGTTGCCACCCTGCTCTGATTACATACAATTGATATTCTCCATTTCTGAGAAATTTCACACTGCCAATTGCAATGTGTCATCAGATCATGTTTCGTAATAATATCCCATCAGTTAAATTAATAATGGTGACTGCACGTTTTCCACCTGGGTGAATGTCCTCATGTCAGCGAAATGATCTCAATCAACTTGTACCCACAGGTGTTTTGTGCTACAAGTATCAATACATGTAAATTGGTTTACGGGTTGTACAGGCACCCGACTAAAAAAACAAAACATGGGTATCCGATAGGGCTGTCCCTTTCCAAATAATTTAGTATTCAATTATTGGAAACCGTGTTTGACCGAATATTCAGATATTCGAAACGGTTTGAGGGCTTTACCCTGCTAAAACGATGAGAACAACTAACCAAACTCAACAAAAAAGTTGTTGTCGCCGTTGACAAACAGCGACATCTGACAATAAAGTGCCACAAGTCTATGACTAAAATAACATCACAGTCGTGTGCATGCATACATGTACATGTAGTTTTCTTCTTTCGAATATCCAAACCGGCAGAAAGCTATTAAAATATTTAGTTGATGATCAAATATTTTAATATTGTGTTTTATTAGGGACAGTCCAAGTACCAGGGTACTGTTAAAGAAACCAACCCCACAATTCAAATCTCGGAACTTGATGTTTGGATTGTTTATAAAGGTCTGTGCGATAAAACTACCACATCAGTGCACTAATGCAGCAAGATGTACAGAGAGCTTTTACTTTCTGGTGAAAACTGCAACTTCCGCGAGTGTCATAAATGTGAAAGTTTGTGAAAGCTGTTTTTTTTTTTTCATGTAGCCTGGTTTTCATTTTGAAAATTCCCCACAAATGACATTCAAAACCTTTTTCATTGTCTGAGAAGCTACTGAGTAATTTCTAAAGTTGGTTATGGGTTCCAGATCCCATAATCTGGAACCGGTTCCTGACCTCAGCGGTCGGGTACTCGGGTACCCAGTTCCAATGCACAGCCCTGTCATTGACATGTAATTTTTCATCAGAACTGTGGTATGTCCTGTCTGAGAGATTGTGCAGAGAAACTCACATGCTCACTCAGTTGGGACACGAACCCACATCCGTCTAGTGCATAAAATGTAATCAATGGATACAAAGTACCAAAATGACAACCCAAAACCCTAATTTAGCCCCAAAAACCTTTTGACAAAAAAAAAAAAAAAAACCTTAAAGCTACAATGTATAGTCCATCATTTGCAACCATTCGAAAAAGTAACTGGCGTATTATTGTTGAAAACATATTTGGTTGAAAGATAGTAAGTGGACTACTCCCTGTGAAATTAATCTTTCTGGCAAGCTATCATTTTGAAGTAATCAACGAAAGAAGGCCTTTCCAACGGTGCGTCTTAAGACGCACCGTAGGAAAATTTAAATTAGTTGGTTTTGTTATTCGGCGCAGCGCGCGCAAGCATTGGCATGACCGCTATAATTCGTCGGATCAGTGCACGACATCGCATATAGCTGCAATTCAAAACAATTCAAAACATGATTCAGCAACTTTTGATTTGAAATTGAGATCCCAGAATGCTGTTTTTCTCGGAATATACAGCTGAAGCTGAGCTGAAACTTCATCAGGTTAGTTGTTCAGTATCCTTCATTCGATTTTGAACAGTTTTGTTGCTTCAAACGAACAAAATGCACAAATTACAAATGATGGACTATATCTTTAACCATATCCTATCTTGTTGCTCTCTTTCATTTGATACCACATTTGAGGTTGTTGTAATGAGTGTAGTTCTAAAGATTTTATTAAATTTTCCACTTTTCAGTCTTGTCCACAACTGTCAATCAACTTTCCTTTTAAACCATCCTACACCATCAGCCCTCCACAATCTTACATTGTGTAACGTGACAACCTTTATACATGTATACATTATCTGTGTTGTAATGTCTGATCCCTACCGACATCTGTTGCATGATGTAAATCCAGCACATTAAACGTCTGGTCTGATCATTATCACACCAGACAAGCTCATGCGAAAACCACACCGAATTGCGTCAACTATCGTAAAAACAGGTTTGGCAAAAGGTGACTGTCTTCCAGATATAAATACTGTAAGCTCCCCTATAAATAAATATGTACCCGATTCCCAATTCAAACAGGGATATCTTCGCACAGCCCATTTTCCGCATCTGCACCTGTACATGGGCAATTCATTTATACCAAAAGCGATCTACCAAATTACTATCAAAAAGCTTCCTTGGATTAAACATCGTACTGGTATAAGACACCCTGTAAAACAGTTCCATCTAACATGAGTACTGTCATTTCGAAGAAATCAAGAAGTGTGCCGGCAGGTAATTCCAACGATCAGTCAATTGAATGATTTTTGGAATAAAGAGTGTCATTTATATCAAAAACAAAATCATGTTTTGTGATCAAAATGATTCGCGTGTTTTTTTCACGAAAAGTGTAATAGCCAGTAAGCTGAAACTGACCATTCTTCTTTGGATTTTGAGAGGTGTTATTATTGGAAACAAACAAAATGCATGAAAAACAAATGAAGCTGTATGTCTTTAGGACGGAGGGTAAGAGTGATGATACCTTTCTGGGAGAACTTCTTCATGCGGAGGTAGCTGGTGGTGAGTCGGATGATGGAGCCCTTGTCCAGTCGGCTGGTAACCTCCTCCGGGTAGGGGAGGAGCTTGGAGAGGGCAGCAATCTCCACCCCTTCCTTGTCCCGCCTCATCTTGGCAGCATAGCGAGACCGCTCCGCCCTGCAAGATCATGATATAAAAGGAAACCAGAAAGAGAGAGAGTTCATGAATCAATACAGTGCTGTAGTACTCCAGTATATTATTTTTTTGGTACAAGTACCGTATGAGTACGGGTAATTACCTACATAAATTTGTAAAACATGACAATAAACCACTCAAATTGTGTAACTGTTTGTAGCAAATCATTAGTTGTGTCGTTTGTTTATCAACATCAACACACCACGCTCAGGATTTTCCGATGTGGTGCAGTCACATGGTCGGACCTGTTTAATCGAAAGAGGGCGTACCAGCTGCAACTGGGCCAGTGGTAGCGATCGGGCCATCTCGCGTGCACCCTCTGTGGTTTTCAATGTGGTAACACGGCAATGGCAAAGAGCCATTGATTGGACTGCCGGCATGCGGGCCACAATTGGGTCAAAGGTAGCGATCAGGCTTAATAATTGTGCTTATAAATATAACACTTTCCTTCGTATCAACAATCTCAAAGCGCTTTACAATTATTCCCCCGTTCATCAGGCCATGGGACCACGCGGCAGCCGATATCAGCGCTCAATCGGTTCACGACCCTCACAGGTACCCATTTATACTCCTAGGTGGAGAGAGGCTATTGTAGTTAAGTGTCTTGCCCAAGGGCACAAACACCATGTTCCTGGCAGGGTTCGAACCCACGCACCTTCGCACCTGAGTCGAACACCGCAACCACTGGACCATGGCCTTCTACGAAAGCCAGAATTTGCGGTTACGGGCTGGAGTCTTAAAACACAATGCAGCATGCAAGCTGCATTCCCATATAAAAACACAAGTCCGTTGGGCAGTAATGGCTCATGAAAAAGCTTCGCGATGTTATTTACGCTTCTCTGCAACTGTTCTGGAAGTGTTTTCTATGGACTGGCCGAACAAAAGTTTGAGTTAAAAAACATTTTCGCCATGTTGTTTACTTGGGTTAAACATTTTTGCAATGTTGTTAATATGCTTCTTTGTGACTGTTTTCGCAGCATTTTCTATAGACAGGCTGAACAAAAGTTCGAGTTAAACATTTTTGTAATGTTGTTTACGCTTCTTTGTGACTGTTTTGACAGCATTTTCTATAGACTGGCTGAACAAAAGTTCGAGTTAAACATTTTTGTAATGTTCTTTACGCTTCTTTGTAGTTGTTTTAGCAGCATTTTCTATGGACTGGCCGAACAAATGTCCGAGTTAAAAGGAGGTACAGTTGCTGTTCGAGTTATGGGGGTATTCATGTACATACATGTACGTACATTTGTAATATCCTATTCTCTAGACAGGAATGGAGTATTCCTTCGAGATAAATGGAGTTGGCCAACCACTGTTGGAAATTTATACAAAAATACAACTTTTCTTGAAAATGACTGCACACCAGGTGCCATAATTTTACAGGATACTTTAAACTGTCATTTACCAACATCCTAATAAGGTACATTGTAAACAAGTTTTGTTTTTCGATGTTTGCAAAAAAATTCCCCTTAACTGTGAAGAAAAAACTGTGGTTCTGAAAAGAACGAAAGGTGAGCAGCAGTGAGAACACTTACAAAACCACATTATGGAGTTGGAAAGTTGAAAACACGTAAAGTACAAGTACATGTACATACCTTGCTCCTTTTCTGAGGAAAGACAATCCTGAATACATTGTACAGTCAATTTACAGATTAAATCTAGTACCAACATTATCACATGACACATGAAAGTACAACTGAAATTTTTGAAAATTGAGGGGCAGTTGTATTTTGGCAACTTAGAACCAAGGACAAAGCATATACCGGTACCGGTACATTCAGGAGTATGTTAGGCAAAAATTGCCCAACCATCAAAAGTTGAATATTGATACAGACCAAAATACACGTACGGGCCGGATATGATCATGATGTAACTTGGACAGTTAATCCGTGCTGAGTAATGTTCTTAGAGCTCCATTGTGTTTGCCAGCAACCGACACCCCCCCCCCCCTTTCTCCAGGGCTCAATTTGCATGTTGGCTAGACACCAAAACAAACTAGCCCCTTGTTCGGCCTAAGTGAAAATCGGTCATGTGACCCAAACACCTGCAGAGAGATGCCCAGACATGATGTAATAATGCAGATCTGGGATGTACATGTACATGTACATGTAACACTACATGTATGTTCTAGTAGCTACCGGTAGGCTCCCAGAGCAGTCAATACAGCCAAAATTGTATACGTGTACATGTACATATACTGACAAAATCATCGTGCCCTCAATTTATGAACTCTCTGAATAGGGAGTTTTGACCCATGCATTTCAGAGCGTGTAGCTACCGGTAGTGAGGCCCCCAAGCTATGACCCAGACTTTAAACTTGAACAGGGGTGTGAGTGACCACTGATAAAAATAGCTGAAAACAGTTTTAAAAAAAGGTGTAAAAAAGCTTAAAGTTGCAATCTCCTATACTTTTGTACACAGCAAGTGAGGGGAAAAAAAGCTGAAATCCAAAACAAAAAAAAGCTGAAATCAGCTTTAAAGCTGAGATTTCACACCCCTGCTTGTATTTCTGAGAAAGTTTGGATAAAAATGGACCCAAAGTTTTGCTCTGATTTTGTGATGGGGTGTAGGGATCACTTTTCATGATGGTGATTGGGTTCAGGACTTATTTTTGAGGGAATCATCTTCAGAAGGAAAAACCACCAAAAGTCACTCCTGCGTTTCTGGCATGAACCCGGCCTAACTGGATTTTTTTGCTGGCTAATTGCCGACCTTAAACTTTTTATTGCCACATTTGGCTAAAAATTTACAATTAGCCTAAAGTATTACAAAATACCCGGTAAAAGCTGTTCCCTATAGATGCAAGTTTTTCAAACAGGTTAATTTAAGGAATTCTGTTACAAACTGTACCCTTTAGTAAACGAAGAACAAAAGACCGACTGCCAAAACATTAAAAAAAAAAAAGGTTACAGCATAAAAATATATTCCTGCCTACCTACACCTACCGGTAGGTACAGTAATTCTTAGGGCGTTGCTGTGAACACATTTTTTTTTCTGACCTAATGCTATTAAAAAAAATACTCTTGAGCGTATGGGCATCAGCACATGAGTGCATGATAAGCCCTAAGCCAGACGATCTATAGCAACTGTTGTGTGTCAGTGTCACCACTAACAATCATGTGTCTGCAGAATGTGCAGATCTGACTACATTTACAATGTAGAAGGTCACCAGATACACATGCAGTCTTCCCAGAAAATACGGTACATTGTTGTACCGTAGGGCCAGTCATTGTGCTAAAGAGAGATCAATCCCTTGTTCGTTTCTTCTTTTAGACATCACAGCTGGAGTCTGTCCCTAATAAAAGTGCTGCCATGTTGTTAAGTGGGTGCCCAAAACAGACAACCAAGTTTAAAAAAAAGTTTCTCAGTCTGGGCTTTTTGAAAAAAAGGACGGAGCCTCTTCCCCTAGTGATGGACATGTTATCGCTTTCTGATAGATAATAGGTCACTGCAGGGAAAAATTAGTAATGTCCATGTATGGAGTTTGTGCCATGGATTCGTCCATTTTCTTGACTCTTTTGCTGATACGTTTGTGGCTTAAGGAGCCGTCAGTCTTTCTACAAAATTTTGAACTACTGGTACCCCGGTACATACATGTACAAAACATGTACATGTAGCTGCAATTTTGCTGGAAACAAATAAAAAGACAAATGAACGGTACATGTACCGGTATACTGCAAATGTACATGTATGATAAAAAAAACCAGCAAACACTAAAAAAGGAGGCAGGAAAAAGGAAGCAGGCGGGGACGAGACTGTTTATTTCTTTTACTTGGCCTAATCAATGCTTTCATCTTTCCTGTTTTATTCAAGGGAAACGTGTCTTTTTCACACTTATGTACATGAATTGTAATAGGATGTATCCGTAGTCTGTATGCCCTAGCTGGAATCGTGCTGTAAGACAGTTTTCCAAAAGGAAAACTAGGACCAAGTTGTTGGAACTTCACTGTCCCCACGTTTTCAGTCCCAACAAAATCTAATACATTGTACATTAACGAAAGTGTAATCCCACAACTACCGTACATATACGGTACATGAACATAACAAGTTTTTTGTACACATGTATGCATTTTTAGATGCGAAGGAAAGCCCACAAAATTGTCAAGACCCACCAACCATATAAACTAAACTAAACTGTACACTATAGGCCTAATCAGCAAAACACACTTTGCTTGTAAAATGGCTAAGACATAATATGCGTATCTGCGCCAAAGTTATCGTCAAATTTGCATACCGTACCAATGAAAGGAATCAAACAAAAAGAGTCCACAGTTACAGGTGCACCTGTCATCTTTAGTGAATGGTTCCCTGTGCTTTGTAATCAAGGCCATTTATAACCATTTAGTCATTTCTTCTCGTAAAAAAATACAGCGTGCAAATACCCAACACCAAACTTCGCACAACCTCCCCCCCCCCCCTTTTCTTTTTATAGAATGGGATACTGTACAAATGTACGGTACATTCATGGGCTGAAGTTTCCAAGAGTGACACGTACATGTATGCCAATTCTGGTAGGCCAGATTCTGAATATGACTGTGCATACATGTACGTGTACATTACCAGAACGCGTCTCTTCAAAGCTTCATTTGTGTCCACCTACCAGTACTTAAATGTAAATTGCCCGGGGCTTACGAAATGCGGGTCCCTCCATCTGTCTTTCTGTCTGGAACACTGCTGTGTCCGTAACGCGGTAAACGATATGTTTGCTAGCATGCAGTCATATGTCTATGCATGCAGTGCATTAAAAATACAGGGCGAACAGCGACCTCACGCGGCCACTATTTTTATGCAAATCAGTTGGACCCAATCTAGCGCCTTGGTTCAATCGTCCATGTGAGGTTTTGGGGGTGGTGCTCATTATGTTAATTAGCTGACCATAAATGTCGTTTTCTTATTGGTCGATCGTTGGGTGGAAACTTGCATAGTGAAACGTGGCACCCGCACCATACATAATCCATACACGTACACGTTGTGTGTCTATGCAC